GGTCTGGAGCTGCCTCCTCTCTGCCGGGGTCTGCCTGGACATGCAGAGCCATGACTCACTCTTCAGGGCTACCTCTCCAAACACAGACTTGCTGACACCCAGGGAACACTCTGCAGGTCTGATCACCACTGCAGGCTGCCCGGTGGGAGAGTATGCTCCAACCCTCAGCCCCAGGGGCTAGCCCTGTTCTTTGAACTCACTTCCTGGCAGTTACAGTCACTCAATAAACACCTCTAAAGTTAAGTGCCTCCCAGGGGTTAGTATTTGATGACCCTGGAGGTATGCAATCACAACCTATCCTAAGTCAGAGAATCTCCGCAGGGGCAGAGACCCTGGCAGGAGGCTGGCAGGGGGGCATTAAAGACCAACAGGAAGAGCACCTGAAGGACACCACTCTATCACCTGCTGGCTGTGGACAGAAGACCTGCAGCCACTCATCTGAACCTCTGTTTCTTTATGAAGCAGGGAAACTTTGGACGTCTCCTAGGATTAAGAGAATCGAATAATCAATCTTAAGACACAGTACAGTCTTAACACAAATCAAGGCTCAAAGTCATGTCAAAGTCATGTCAGCTACTGTAGTCATTATTGTTAAAAAAAAAAAGAAAAAAGGTCTAATAATGTGATTTCTTCTGAGAAGCTAGGCAAAGAGGTCCCCCACGATCCTGTCATTTGAGAGAACTGTCTTCATCAACCCGTTGTTATTGACAAAGCCATATCCAGCAGCAAGTGGCAAGACGCCATCATCAACCACACTGTCAGCAGGGCAGCCTCCCGCCAGGTGGGAGAGGCCCTCCCCTCATGGCTCTTAGGGGCAGGGTTAGCGGGGCAGCGCGTCCCTCAGAGCAGAGCAGAGGGAAGAGGGACCGAAGGGAAGAGCACAGACGAGGCAGAGAGGAGAGCAGCGGCCAGGACTTGCCAGAAGCAGCCACTCAAGAAACGCCATGGACACAATTTCTAAATTAAAACCCACCTGGACACTGGGGCCTTCTCAGGCACGGGCCCTGGAGAGCTGGTGGCTGCTAGAGACAGAGCAGACGAGCTTCCAAACGGATGATCGGAACCTCGGCTCTCTGGCTTCCCAGCTCTGTGAACTTGGAAAAGTGACCCCATTCTCCGGACCTTCTGGGGTTTTTAATAACTAAATAAGTCATAGTCAACGTATGCACAGCGTGGAGTAAACACCCGGTAAATATTAGAAAGAACAGAGGAGGGGGAAAAGCCCTCGCTAACTGACATACACCAGGATACACCAGGCCCACTCACAGGGCGGCAGCAGCATTTCATATTGGTAACCTCATCTGTAAGCTCACGGAGAACAATGCAGGCCTCCTGCTCCCCTAATGCCCTGGGTGTAAGATGCCGTTGAATCCACTACCACGCCACCCTGGAGCTTGCTCGACAGCATCAAGGGCAGCGGATGACATGCCAGACTAACAAGGCCATCTGACTACAAGACCCTTGGGATCCGATCCACAAGTCTGCTGCATTCTGAAACACGCACACACGGGCTAACGTGGGCCCAGAGAAGCTGCTGGCCCTGACCCTAAGCGAAACAGGGTGCCCCTCTGACGCCAACTTGTCCGCCTTCCCGGCCCCCAGAGCACAGAACACCTCTCTACTTCATAATGCCACTGTCCTTCCTCAGCGAGGCCCTAGAGCCAAATCATGATGGCCACAGAGTAGAAATGAAGACTTAACAGCTGAAGAATCAGTCACTCCTCAAAGCAATTAAATCAAAGAATCTTAACGTCAAGGCTGGAACTCGGGGCCCATAAACTTGGACTGGAAAAGACAAACATCTCTACTTCATTTGCATCTAACTGATGTTCAGCACCTTCTCCAATCATGAATGAAAGTAACACAGGTTGGTAACTCCAACAAAAGATACAGTAACCTCACACTGTAATCTTCAGAAATGCCTCGGTATTCCTTACATTCACAGCACTTCACAATTAAGGCACTTATTAGGCCCACCGCTAAATCCTGATGTTAGTAAAGAAGCAGATGTTAGTGTGACTCAAGTTTTTAAAATACTAACTGGATTTCAATGTCATTGGTTTCCTTTTTTAAGTCTTAAGTATTTTATTCTGTGCATTAAAACAGCTTTCTGAAAAGACATGCACCACCTTCACCAGCGCCTCAGAGAGATCCGTGGCACAAGCTGTGGACAAGAGATAAGTCCCTTGTGGGGAAGAAGCTGGTCCTGTCCTGTTGTATGTCCCTGGCACCTGCGGCCACGTGGTAGGTGTCCAGCATATATTTATGAAAGAACAACAGCCCGAGCAGTGCGGTTCTGATGGACGGTCCACTTACGCCACAGCACTGCTGACATGATAAAATTATAAAGGCAGAAAAGCCTGTGGAAGGGGCCTGGCTGTCAATCCACCTGGAGACCCTACTACACGGGGTCACACCATGGAATGCATCACCTCTTTTTAGTAGGGAAAGAGGAGTGTTTGGAGGCGCTGAAGTGGGGACAGCATGCCAGGTACAAGGCACAGTCAACAGTATCACCCGTATCATCTGCCCAGAAAAGCAGCCAGCAGCAAGGTGCCCTCTGGCCCCACCCAACACAGCTATGCTTCAGTCCTCCCTGCCCAGGGTCTGCAGTGAGACGAAGTTAACCCTGGGGCTTGGACTGCAGTTCCAAGACCAGCCATGCTGCCCAGCACACAGCTGGCCTCCACACTAACAAGAACCTGTACTGGACAGTGCCGGCTGCACCATGGGGCCAATGGAAGGCCCATTCTTCAGGTGGCCTGGGCTTGGCTGTGGCCTCCTTTGGGGCAGGAACCCGGCTGTTCATCCCATACTACCAGCACAGCAACGGTCACCGGCCAGCAGGTTCTCACTGCTCTTCCCAGACGACCAATCTCAATGGACCCCTTATCACTGACACTGTTACCACCTCGCTGAAGACCCTTTGGCCTGGATGATGAAAAGGTCCCCAACCCCAGCTCGTCTTCCTCTTTTCTCTTATGCCCTGCTGGTCTATTTTCCATGGAATAACCACTGTGAAGTTTTCAAAATATAAATCAGACCATGTTATTCCACATTCAAAGTCCTCTTCACAGTTTCCCATCCCACCACTGCAAAATCCAAGTTCCCTCTCGAAGGCAGACGGGGCTGTGGGATCTGGCCCTGCCTGCCCCTTGGGCTCTCTCCTCCTCACCCTTGCCCACTCCTGTTCTGGAACGTTGGCCTTCTTTCCGTCCTTCCGTGTTCTGAGCCCACTCACATCTCCGGCTTCTCCCCATGTTCCCCTATTCACAGACCTTCCTTGGCTGGCGTCCTCTGCATTCCAGACTGTTCAAATGTCACCTCTGCACAGAGGCCTTTCCTGATTTCAGTTTCCCAATCTCCAAAATCTCTTTCTATCTCCTCATTATGCATAACTTTTCCTTACAGCACTGATCACCATCTGACATTGCATTACATAATCATCTGTTTATCAGGGATTAGCAACCATATTTGGAATGAGCCTATTAAAATACCAGGGCTCCAGGCCTCACCCATATCAAACCAATCAGAATTTTGGGGAGTGGGGACAGGCTCCTTCAGTTCACAAACCCCTCCCAAGCAACTCTGATGTGCAGCCCAGGAATCCCCATCTGACTCTCAAACTCTCATGTGCATATAATGCACCTGGGGTGCTGAGAAAATGCAGATTCTGACTCAGGTCTAGGGTGGGATCTGAGGCTCTGCACTTCTAACAAGCCCCAGATGATGCTAATGTTGCTGGTTGCTAAGTCATTCTTGGAACTGCCAGGGTCTCAAACTGCAACGACCAATAAAACTTTGTGCAATAATGAGAAAGTTCTAAATCTTCACTGTCCAAAAGTCACCATCAGCCAGGTATGACTACTGAGCTTCTGAGATGAAACTAGTGTGGCCAAGGAGCTGAATGTTAATCTCAGATAATCATCTTGGGTGGGGCAGGTCTAGAATATATGTGATCCATGACAAAAGACACTGTACCCAGCAATCCCAGCTATGTACTGGGGATTGAACCCAGAGGCATCAACCACTGATCCTTGTCCCCAGCCCTTTTTACAAGGTCTCACTGAGTTGATGAGGACATCCAAGTTGCTGGGGCTGACCCTGAACTCCCAATCCTCCTGTTTTAGCCTCTGGACCACCATGCCTGGCCTATGTGGAGTCCTAAGAATCAAGGATTATTTCAAATTCTTGGCCTGAGCAGACCTCTGCAGATTGGGTGCATGTGAAAATCCTATCTTAAGGCCTAGTTTGCCACCAGCTCAGTGGATAAATATTTACCCAAGGTAGGAAGGCAGATACAGAAGACCATACTGAACCACCTTGGTGACTACAGCATGTGGTAACCCCCCAGGTGACTAGTTTGGTTTCAAGACTTGATTGTTAAAAACCACACAAGACCCTTTTCAGAGGCCTGGGTGTGCTAGAGGGCTCCCAACTGTGTGTATCTACACCATCCTGGACATTCTCAGACACTCTGACAAGACTTCAGGGCAGTGACTGGCTTACAGGATGCCTCTTTCTTCCCTAGACCAAATTAGTACTGTTACTATTAATCCTAAGAGAGAATCTGCATGCAGCAGGAGGGGAAGCTCACCTGAAAAGATCTTTCCCTGTTTAAGTGATTTAAAATGTTCCAAATACATAAATTCAGATTTCAGGACAGCATAAAAACGTGGCCCGGTTTGACCCACAGAGGCTGACTTCCAAGAACATGAATGTACTAGGCAAGATCCTGTCCTCTCACCAGATTCAGAATCTATCCATCTGGGACTTGAAGAAGATGCTTTTTTGCAAACAAGTCACAAAAAGCTAAAATTCAAAATCGGAGTCCTGCCTAAAAAGCCTGAGGCCTGGTTCCCACGTAAGAGCGGGGAGGGGTCTGGACCCATGGACAGCAGGGCCCTTGGGAGTCTGCGAGGCCCAGATGTTCACTGTCCCCCTGCAGTTAGAACCCAGTGATTATGACAGCAATGAGATTTCCAAGGTAACCAAGGACAACAAAGCAGAGATTATGGCCCCGGAAGGAAATAGATTAAATTTTAATACTAAGGAGTCAACATCAAATTTATTTTTAAAACTGCATCAATGCCAAATAAGCAAGGGAGAATGGATGGTGTCATAAAGACGGCCTAACTAAAAACCTGAACATCCAAGTATGTACACAATTTTTCCATATTTTAAGAAAATTTCAAAGCGCCCAAAGGCTCAGAGAAACTAAGACAGGGCTAGGGGGGCGGGGCCCAAGGGGGAAAAAAACAGCTCACTCTTCAGATTTATGCCAAAACTACTTATTTTCTCCATTATTTCCAAAAGCACAGGGCAGACGCCAGTTGCAGCACCAGACATTGCTAAGTTTGCTAAAATTGTGCAAAATAATTACTTCATCCAGAGAAAGTGATCGCCAAGTGAAAATTGAAAACAGCTGTACACTCACCTGAGGCCAAGACGGCACACTAGCTAAAAGGTGAGTGTGAAGTGGTCATTCACTCATGCACTCATTCATTTGTTCCCTTCTTTACACTCCCCCACCACCACCATGTAAAGCCTATCCTCACTCCAGGGTCTGTCTGTGCATTAACTACAACATGATCTGGAAAACAGCATTTATTAAACTATTTGTCTGATAGGTGCTGTGTTCACCACAATCCTCAGAAGTAGACAAGTATGATTATCCAGTCTAGAAAGCTGAGGAAAATGAGAAAATGTTAGGTATCTCACCCAAGTTCACAAACTGCAAGTGCTGGAGTCTGAACATGAACCCAAATTGACCTCACGAAGGAGCAATTTAGAGAATGCAGGATTATTAAAGCTAGAGAAGAGTTTAGTTTCTGAAGATAGCTTGGAATCAGGTTCAAATTCCACTTAATAGCTCTATAAACTTGAGCAAATAACCACCTCTCCCAGCCTCAATCTCCTCCTCTACAGAGCAGGGCTCAGATTAAAGACTACCCATGTGACATTTGCAGTGTAGGGCAGGGACCAGGTACCTAGTAATATTCCAGCTACAGGTATGCAAATCAAAAAAGCACATTTCATACCCAGTACCAAAGTGGGGGGAAAAAAGCACATTTCCATTAGAAAATGACTTTTTTGCAGACACAACCTCCATTGGAAATAAATATATACAAAGGTTAATTCATCTAAAAATAATCCACTAATTTTATAACTCATTTAAACATAGGCCTAAATTTTATTTTTTTTAAATTTCTGTTAACTGCAAAATTTTATGTCACAATATCCTCTCTCGTGTGCAGTATAAAAAGTAAATGTCTTGTTTAAAACCAAAATATTGCCAGGCCTGGAGGCACACTCCCATAATCTCAGCAATTCTGGAGACTGAGGCAAGAGGATTGCAAGTTCAGAGCCAGTCTCAGCAACTTAGCAAGGACCAAAGCTATTTAGCAAAATCCTGTCTCAAAATAAAAACTTAAAAGGGCTGGGGACATAGTTCAAGGATAAAGCACCCTCTGGGTCCAATCCCCAATATCAAAAAACAAAATGAACAAAAAAACAGAAAACAAAATTTTGTGGGAATCATTTGTCATTAAATCATACACAGAACAAGTTTTTATAATGGAACTGAACATTAAGTGCTCTGGGGAAAAAAAACATTTTTTTAAACAATCCATGCTGATTCCTCTCAGAAAGTAAACAACTTTCAGATGTTGCCATGAATCCAAGTTCACACTTGTCATCATCACAGCATGTATACTACATTTACTTAAAGTGAGATAAACCTGCAATGGTTTTAATTTTTCCATGTTTGAGACTCCAACCCAGTCTTGTGCTCAGATGGCAACATGAAGCAAGCCTGCAATTTAACAAAATGACCAAATCCAGTCTCTCTTTAATCTGCTTGGTAACTGAGCTCTAGGGTAATCTCCTGCACAGCATACAAAAAAAAAGGCTTGGATTCATCTACTGAAAAATTAATCAGAAAAGGGGTATGCCAATTTTAATAGCAATTCCTATTTGCCTGGCTTTCCAACATCTGCCAGTGTTAATAATATTTAACTGACAAACTACAGGGGGAAAAGGCAACAGAACTTTAAATACAATCAAGCCCTTTTTTAAGGCATCATGTACAAAGTTCCTTCCCTTAATGAATAGCTGTTACCTTTCTGATTGCAATCATTTCCATAAGTATTATTAATGATGTATTTTGAAAACACTGTTAACATTTTCCTATTTTCAACTGGAACTAGAGAAAAAATTCCATCCATCCATCCCCACCTGCCTCATCTGAAGACATCCTTTTGAGCCCTGCTCATAAAAGTGTAGTGAAGAGATCTGAGACTCACAGAACTCACCACCAAAGGTTTACTTGCAGCTCTCTGCCAAAAACAGGGAGGAGAGTAGGGAGTTAGGGAGGATGCCCTAGCCATACTTCAACATTCAGAATGCTGAATCTGGCATTTTTCATTTAGCCTAGTATTGACTGTTTATGTCTACAAAGAAAAAAAAATCCACTAAGGAAAAACATTCTACATTTTTTTTTCCAACCAATTCCTAACAGCAGATGCTTTGTTCAAAGGGGGAAGGGTAACGCGACCACTCACTGGTGACACACACCCCCATTCACTGTGGGCCAAGCATTTTCTTCAAAAACACCTACAATACTCAATTTTAGGGCTGTAACTTGACATTGTGGCCAAAAGAAACGCAATGTTCCAATTCACTGTTGCCACACGTGTGGCTTGAAACCGGTCACCTATAATGAGCGCAAACACTTGGCACACAATGCCTCTGATGCGGAAGAGCAGCGTTCTAATCCCGTTCGGGATGGAAGGAAAAGGAGGATCCAGGCGAGGCCATGGCCCCTGGACTCTCGGGCTGCTCCTTCCCACTCCGCAGGCTGCTTTCTCAGCCTAAGCTGCTGCCCTCCTCAACGTGCCCTCTCCCGGCATCTGGAGAGCCCACAGGCTA